AAGACCTCACCCAAGGACCTAGAAGGCTACATGTAGCCTCAAGTTCCCCACCTCTGCTATAGGCTTACAACCAAGAATACTTTACCCAGAAAAACAGAGTATAATTTTTTTTTTTTAGTGAGGCAATTGGGGTTAAGTGACTCACTCAGAGTCACACAGCTAGTAAATTTTTAATGTGTCTGAGGCCGGATTTGAACTCAGGTCCTACTGACTCTAGAACTGGTGCTCTATCCACTGCGCCACCTAGCTGCCCCTGAGTATAATCTTACAGAAGAAAAAGTGGACTTCCAAGCAGACCTGATGAAATGACCAGAGCTACGTAAGAAGTTTGAAATTCAAACAAAGGAGCTAAGAGAAGCATGAAAAGGTAAACATGAATGAACAATTATAAGGGACTAAACAAGGACAAACTACTTACATTCTAATATGGAGAAACAGAAGGGAAGGGAATAAGCATTTATTAAGTGCCTACTATATGCCATGCATTGTGCTAAGTGTTTTTTTACAATTTATCCTGACATTTTATCTTAACAACCCTGCAAAGTAGGTACTATTATCACCCCCATTTTACAGTTGAGAGAACTGTGGCAGACAGACATTAAGTAACTTGTCCAATGTCACATGACTAGTAAATGTCTAAGGCTGGATGTGAACTCAGGTCTTCCTAATTCGAAGTCCAGAGTTTATCTAGACCAGTCTATCCACTGCACTACCCTATTATCATCAGGAACCGTAGAAAGAATCTAATTAGAAGGCCAAGAATGGGTTGTCTTATATTTTGATGATCTTAAAAGAAGACTGGAAAGGGAACAGGACTGTATTACAGGGGAAAGGGAGAGGAAGGTTAGGGAAAATTATCTCAGAGAATCAGGGTACGCAAGTAGAGGGATATTCAAACAAGGAGGAAGGAGTGGGGAGAGTGGCTGACACCTGAACTTTACTCTCATCTACAAACACACACACACACACACACACACACACACACACACACACACACACAGTAATACATTTCTGTACTCAACAGGGAAAAAGGAGGGAAAAGGAAGAAAGAAGAATTAGAGAGAGGGAGATTAAGAGAGGGTTGCCTATCAAAACAAATTCTAACAAAGAATGTACAAAAATATTTACAGCTCTTTCTGAGGTATCAAAGATTGGAAACAGTGAGGGTATTTATCAAATGGGGAATGACTGAACAACTTACAGTATGTAAATATAATGGAATGCTATTATGCTGTAAGAAATGATGAGGATGGTTTCAGAGAAACCTGGAAGGCTTGTATGAACTGATCTAGAGTGAGTGAGCAGAACAAGGAGAACAATGGGTCTCTCCTGACTCCAAATCTCACCAGATTCTATCTATCGCAATGTCCTTTGGAATCTGACTCCACGATTTCACAAGAACAATGACGAAATTTGCTAACAACCACCTGATACAGACGTGAAGGATTCAGACTGCAAAATGAGACAACAAAAATTTTTTTTGACACAGCCAATGTGGAAATTTGTTTTGTTTGACTCTACGTGTTTGTAACAGAGCTTTTGTTCTTCTTTCTTTCTCAATAGGGGCAGGGTGGAGTGGGAGAGAGAGAATGCAGATTTTTGCTAATTGACAAAAAATTAATTTAAAAATGATATTAGCTAAAAAAAAGATAAAGCAGAGGGTAGAATCAAAAAAGGTTACTACATCTTTTGAGAAGCTGACAAGCAGTTTACAATACCCACATGACATTAAATTTCATATCAAACTGAAGACTTTTGGCCATATTTATCTTCCTTTATGATTAGGAGGCCTATCATAAACATCACAGACCTAGAGCATTATTTTCAGCATCCCTTCCAAGCTCCGCTGGCAGAATAGGATCCTCAAAAAGGGTCTCAACCACATGCTAACACCAACAGAAAAATAACATTTATTACATTATGGGAGCAGATGATAAATAGGATGCATGAAACAGCTACTGTATAGGGAATGTTACGTGATGACTAAAAGAAGGGAGGGCAGGAGAATTTCTGTTAATATATATACCTAAGTTCATTCATAGAGCACCTCAAGCTAAGCAAACATATCACCAAAGAGTAGCAATGTCAGTTGGAGGACAATGAAATCTCTCTACTCTCAGCATGATGTCACCACAGCACCTTTCCCCATCTGCCCAGTACAGGGGCAGCTTTTATCTGAGAAAATATTAAAAAGTAAGGGACAGATGTGATTTCAATGCAGGTCATCTGCCAGTGGGTGCATATACATTTCTGCTTACCTGCACCACTGTTCCCATTTGGGTGAGGAATGATGACAAGCAGATGATTACAGAGCTAACTTCAGTCAATCTTTCAGCTTAAAAAAAAAAAAAAGGTCTGAGAGAATAGTGTTTCACAAGCTACCCAAAGAACTTCTTGGATTGCTGAGACCTATCTTCCAACCTCCCATAGGCCGAAGCCTATTAGTCATCCAATAATGCTGACTAGTTCAGTTTGGTCAAAACATGCAAGCCACTGATAGTGTTCCTCTCTGTGATTGGTTACAATTTTCTTCCTTTTATTATAGTAACCTTCTGCCAGAGAAGTTCTCTGTTTATTCTACTTCCTTAATAACCATGATTTCCACAAATATCTGCATCAACATCCCAAAGAATTTATGGAATAACTTCAAGTCAGTGAGTAAATGGTACCTCTTTATCCATTATGCCTGAGAATACTATATCCAGAGGAAAAGCAGATGACTATCATTTCTTTATATCTTTTAAACATGGAAAGAACCTTGATTCCTGATGACCTGACCTCCTTCTAATGACCACCTCTCTAAAACTGATTCCTCAGACTTCCTTATTTTTGCCAAGAATACTACTTACTGCCATTCATCCTATCACCTCTGCTTGAAATCTCAATGTTATCTTTGCTTCACCCCTCTTCTTAAAAGAAATTGATGACCCAATCCTGTTTATTTTTCCTCTTTGATTTCTCTCAAAACCTTTTTTTCTTTCTATTCACACTGCTAGCTTAGTACATGTTCCTAATTACCACTTGACTGAACCACTTGCACAGCTTGCTAACTGGTCTCCCCTCTACTAATCCTTAGCTATCCTTAAGACATCTTTCACTCAGCTCGCTAGCCCACAGAAGAATCTTCCTCAGGCTCATGTCACTCTGCTTAAAGCCTTTCAATAGCTATCTACTGCTTAAGGAAGAATTCCAAACTCTTTCAGGAGGTTACTTGACCCCTCCCCACCTTTTTGGCTTACTTCACATTGCTGGCCTTCTGTCTGCTGGGCTCCTTCAGTCTTGCATAGGATTTTGTAACCTATCTTCATTTCATAGTATAATCTATGGTTACCAAACCCTTTTTGGTCTAGATTTGCAACTTGTTGACTTAGGGAATTATTATAGAGAGGAAACTGCCTCTATGAATACAAATCAGCCACCATCCTATGATGTAAGCCTTAGAGAGTTGCCTGGGGTACTGAAACCCAGGACCTGAACCTAAGGCTTCCTGACTTTGAGGCTGGTTTTACATTCACCACGCTATGCTGCCTCTGATTTGTATTCAATCTAAATTTAGGTTTTGTGTTCCTCTCACACCTACCTTTCCCAGCATCTAGCAAAGTATTTGGCACATAGTAGACACTTAGTTGCTTACTCCTCTAACCACAAAATCATACTGTGAGGATTAAAGTAGGGGAAAGACCTGGGCCAGAGGAGAGCAAGTAACTCTCTTTAAACCAAACTCACTCCTGTTCAAATCTAAGCATTCTATAAAAACAAAAACCAGCCAACCAGACAACTTTGTTTCTCAATGTAAGGAGAAGTAGCAGCCCCATCATTAGGGATTATTAAAACCCAAAGCACCTAAAATCCACAGAAGTAAATGTTATAAATGTAAACAACATTAACAACAACAACAAAAAACCAAAAACATTATTCTGAGGTTCTACTTATTTTAAACTGCTCAAAAAAAAACCCCATCTTTTTTACAAGGGTTTTTAGTTGGGATGTCTTGCCCTCCATTTTATTTGTCGTTTGGAATATCTTCAAGTAAGCAGTTACTGTTAGGGAAGTTAGTACATAACCACAACAAAAAACAGCAAACAGTTGCCAATCACACTCACATTTCCATTTTCCAGCTTTTAAAATATTACCTTGTAACAAGAATCAATGGCCCAAATCTAGGCACTGACAAATATTTGAGAAGTAAAGGCAAATAATCCTATTCTTGGCTTGGACTATCTGAAGCACCTAATTCTAACTCACTGCGGATCCTATAGAAAAGAGTGGAAAGGGATGGGTTATTTTCAAAGGAGCTAACCTAAAAGTAGCACATTTGGAGTCCTAATTATAATCTGGTGTTAAGCTGATGGCTGCATGGTAGGGAGTTAGAGTGGGGCCAGTTTGGATGGGAAAAGACATCTTTGGAATGACAAAGACCAATATGGACTGTGTATACCTCCCAAAACTTAGGCTACCCTAGCAAAAGAGGCAATATGTCAAGGAATGAGGAAGGCAGCAGCTTACTCAGTCATGAAACTTTATCTATCTATCTATTTATCTATCTATCTAGCCAAACTGCATCATGTCCTAAGTAGCTTGAGAAGAGATGAACAATTTGATTAATTCTACAAAAAAAAGTCCTTCTTAGCTTTACTTATAATGAAATGGAGAAAAATCTATCATCAAGGGTTTCATTAATGTATGAAAGTTAGCCTATTCACAGCAAATACAGATAAATGACAAATCAGTAAATTAAACCCTCATTTGCTAGTATAATATAGGAATTTCTTTGTGTAAAAGTTTATCAGGAATGATTGTAACAATTATTACTATGATTACTTATACTACTAAAATCCCAAGACACTCAGTCCCATAACAATAGAATTGACTAGAGAAATTTCCTTTTTGAGTGCCTGGGTACTACTTCAAAACTACTTTAAAAAAAAAGTTAGGAAGAGTTAAAGCAATAATTTTACATATTTGAAAAAAAAAAAGAAAAATGTAGATGCACCACTTACCTATCAGACCCTTCTCAAGAGTAAAGGTTTTGTTTGTAAACATACATTCAAAAGCCACAAGGTGGAAAACTTTGTTCACTGTGTTGTGTGTACCAACTATTCGAACATACCTGAAGGAAAAGCAAGAAAAAGAAATATGTTTACAACAGTGAATTATCACCACCAATCTAAGGATAACTGAATAAGATATACATGGTAAATATTATCATAGCAAACAATTACGTACAAGGGAAAAAGAGTAAAGGAGACGATGTACTTGATTTCAGACCCCATACTTGCTTTCAAAGAGCTTGGCTCCAAGTAAACCAAAAAGAATTACATCAAATTAAAGAAATGCCACTTTCCTGACAATTATGTAGAACCTGAATTTGATATACCTAGGAAACCAAAAGTTCCCGTCTAATTCAACCTTGGAATGTCAGGTAAAATTACACATCTATGGAAAATTATAAATAAATAACTTCTTAACTCCACTTGTGGTAAGAATGCCTCCAATTCTCCAACAAACACAGACATAAACATACACTCCCCCACCCCTCCATCAACCAAGTCATGTATTTTCAAACAAAATGAAGTATTCTACTAACTGAAGATAAACGATAAATCAATGTTGTTTTCTTATTTAAAAGAAAAGCAAAATTAAACCTAAAAGCCTCAAACCACATATTTCCTTGTCTTAATTTTGTTTTTAAATCTTTATTGGTAAATTAACTCCTTATACTCACATCAAACACCAACTTCATTTCTGCTGAAACCCTTTCCTGATTACAAGAAATGGTTATCAATGCTAGCCTAGGCTTTGCAATATCCATCCTTTCCTTTGGACTTCCCTCTGCTGCACAGAACAGGCATCTGCACAGTCTCATTGAGCAGCTCTTGAACATAGTGGCCTCTTCACCCTTTATATTACCCTGGAGGCTTCACCTTCGACAAACAAGCATTAACCTTGGATCAGCCTGTTCCCTTCACTTTCCAAAGGGACAAGATAGTCCACAGGTTAATGAACAGACAAATTCACTCTTATGAGTGCTACACAATCCCACATGCAGTATGAGACACAAATCTCACTGGAATTTTTTAAAAATTGAGGGAAAATAACTTGATTAACTGATTAATTCTCTCCCAAATTATCTAGTATCCACAACGAAGGAAGGTGCATTATAAAGGAACAGATTTCAATGAAGAGATGGAAGAATGGATACTTTTTTTTGTAAAATCCTCTGCTGTATAAAACAACGTTCCATTTAGCTGAAAAATTTACTTCCAAGTTAATACTGTTCACCAAGTCAGTGATTTTCTCATTTTTCATTATTCCAAGTTAACTTTATAATATAAATGCTGGGTTTTTTTTAAGCTCTAAGTAGACTTATTCTGGATTTTATACTACAGGCTATTTCATTCCTCTTTCCTCCACCCTACCTCCCCCTTGTAGCTTGAATCTTGAGGATTCCCTGTGCACCTCATTTAGCCATCTGCTCTTCAACATGAGTTGATCACTCATCATCAAAACCAATATAAATGCTATTTCTTAGACATATAGCTTTGAGGAAAAATGCACACAGCAGGGAGACACCACTCTTTCCATAGAGAGTCAAAAGCAGCTGCTGGATCTGGCTGTCTGACAAGACCCATTTGGCTAAGGAGGAGGTCAGCCTTAATCAGTACTGTTGCCTTCAAGGAGGATACAAAGCAGCTACGCTGACTTAACTGGGTCTGGGGGTTTTATTTTGCTGAGTTTTGAAAGGTCTAAGCAGTACAGGATTTCAACCATCATTGGCTGTGACAACCCTGCTGGCAGCTTTCTGGAAGGGAAGGGGTGTTAAACTTGGCACCTTGGTCAGAATCTAATTTTGTAAATTTCCCTCAACTCACAGCAACTCGACTATCATCAAATTTTCAACTGCATCGAGCAGTGACAAAGTGTGGAAGTGCCGCTCTCAGCAACCCATACGTAGTCAGGGGAGGGGTTTGGTGGAATTAGATCAGAGCACCTTCCCAGCAATGCTGGATGAACCAAGTAGAGACTCTTCATATAAAGTTATTTGGGGGTTGGTACCCCACATGGAAATTTTCTGGGTTTTCGGTCTCTACCATATTCTCTACCATTTCTCCTGTGAGAAAGATTGCCATGTCTAAGGTCGAGAGGACCTTATAGGATCTAGAAGTCCCCTCTCAGTTTCTTATTAAAATACTCCTGTGCTGACATCCAGATGTCTCCCCAGTGCTCACTCTGCCTTTTTTCCCACACAATACCAAACCAGACTTTCCAAGTTGAAAAGATGGGTCAATTTTTTCCTTAACAATAACCAGCCAACCTGGGAATGGAAAATATCAGTTAAAAAGGAAAATGTTTGCCAAAATGACTTACTTTACAACCCTAAAGCTGATTATGGTAAACACAATAACAGATACATAGTTGGTAAAGCACTCTGGGACATCATTAGATTTTTAAAAGTGCTATATAAATGGAGAATATGTTATCTCTAATGCATAATCCTGAGGTCAAATGAGCAATTTACTACTGTAGATCACACTTCTTGATTAGACTGTTAAATATAACACCCTTAACAAGTTTAATTACTTCAGTTCTGTAATAATCTCTATGTCTCTATAAGCTTGCTGTATAGTTTACAAAAATATCATGGAAAGATTGACTAAGGTAGTGCTTTTCCCCTACCTTTTTTCCTCCGTACCCTCCCAGACTGTTGGGGCCCTTTTCTCTACTAAAATTCAAACTACAATACTCCCTGATGGAGTCAAACGAGAGATTCTCTGGTTTGGAATACTCCCAATATATAATGTGGTGGCTCAAAGATGTAAGTTATTAAAGGTTTTGAGGCATTTATTTCTTTCTGTGCCTTGAAAAAAATCATTCTGGGTCTGGGTCTGACCTAAACAATGAAAGCGGATAACACACATTTCCTTTCATATAAGTATTTCTGAATAAAAGCTAAAGCTTAAGATTTTATTTTCCTTTCCTTTTTTATTTTCAACATCAGTTCTCAAATGTATAGCTAGCCTCAGATTTAAACTGATAATAAGAGCATTGCTGGCAGTTGGCTTTATCAAGACTGTAGAGGGACACTGCTGGAAAAATATAACAGACATTCTTTGTTCTCTCTAAGGCCCTCTACACTAGCTCAGCCAGTTGGAAGATAATTAAAACTTAAACAGTGCTGAGGAAGGCAGATATGCAACAGATTGGCCATTTCTGATGAGGATGGATGCTGCACGCAGGAAGCCTTGTGCAACAGTCTGTTTTCAACTCTGTCTTTGCTTTCCCTTTCGACAACTCTAGGCCATTTTCTGTTCTCCAGTGAAAGCTGAATTTCAAATGCAGTCTGAGAAGGGGTTGTTTAATTATGGAAGTTCCTAGGAACCTTTCCTTTATGAGAGGTTGGAACTCTTGGCAACACACAGGAAGGGATCTGGTTTTACTGAGACTGAAAGGTGTTTTTCAGTCTAAAGAAACACAAAACACTACCCTCAATTTATTTTTTTTTCTTTTGCCTGTTACACGAGAATGATCAGTAAGCATTTATTAAGGGCTTAGTAGGTACCAAGTACTGTACTAAGTGCTAGAGATACAAATACAAGTAGAAAGAAAGGCAGTCCCTGCCCTCAAGGAGCTTACATTCTAAGCAGTGCCATCATTTCATCCAGATGCATGTTACTCAGTGTTACTTGGTTTGCCCTTGGAAGGCAGAAGCTCCTAATACATGTCTTAATCTCTTCCAGCCTTTAGGAAGCTTTCATCCTCAAGACATAATATGACATACATTTAATATAAAGAACCCTGGTGGGGGGGGAGGAAGAGAAATGGTTGAAGAAATGATACACATGCAGAACTTAATGCCTCAGTAGTCTCCAGTTTGTAGACTTTACAGTCAACAAATATATATGGAATTAAAGTCCTTTTATTCTCCAGTCTTTGTCCTAAGTCAAGTGACTACCTATTAGAATCTCTTCAGTAGAAATATTAATACAAAACAAAATTTAACTCAGTGAGATGTATTTTAAACGAGCTTGAATAAGAACAACCAAAGTCAAATGCCGAAGTGTTGTAATCTAAGTGACAGTAAGGAACTCTGGAAATATCAGAGATAGTTTAAGATTGGCCACCAGGATAAGATTTTATCAAGTAACTGTATCCAGATAATGAGCCCAGAGAAGCCAGAAGGGAAACTAGGTCTTTGCTATGGTCAAAATGAGGTACTTAAGATACCTCAGATACAGAATATTCTCGGAAAATGGGTGGAATGCTGTACACCTGGGGTATGGATCTGTAATTGCCAATATTTGTTACTTGCCCACTGCCCATGCCCAGTTAAGAATGTACATTAATACTCAATGGCAAACAAAGTCTCTTTCCCAAGAGTCATATACTGTGCTCCTCCAGGTCTTTTCCTATGGTTTAGGGTTCGTTATTACTGTTGTTATTATCAAACCAAAAGTATGGAAGTGGGAACGACTATTGGTCCTGTTGTTAGGGCAGCAAGTAGAAAATCATTTATTGAAACAATGACAAAGGAGTTGTAAGCTACAGGAAAAGCATGATGAAACAGAAAATATTTGTTATTTTCTAAGGAAATCTTTTCCAGCGATGACTTCTTCTCTAGTAACGGCTACAAAGTGCCTCCGAAGTATTTGGTTTTTTCGTAAATGGAATTGAGGGAATGAAAATATTGTTCCAAAGTCAGCCCAAAGTGGTTACTGGCTTAAATGATGGCCTAAATGCTAAATGAACATTAGCTTTGAGAATTGTTTTAACATGTTCAAGTATACTTTTACTACTACCAAATTGAAAGGCAACTGAAATGACAAAGATTCTTGTTTTCCAGAAGCAAATAGTTGAGTTTCTTGTGTGGCGAGGATAAGATGGCTAACTTTTTGCATTACATGACTCAACTCTATGTGTTATTTTGCTGTAAAAATAATTTGTACTTTTAATTGTCAGAAGTTCAATGCCTTCTCTCTTCTGAAAAAAAAAGTATTAATAATTAAAAGACATGAGGCTTCTGAGTTGTATTTACAATTTTTGGCTTCTTTCATTTCTCAAATCTAAACATATTTCTACATCATACTTTTCACTATCTTTCACTAGGAACAT